TACATACATACATACATACATACATACATACATACATACATACATACATACATACCTACCTACCTACCTACCTACCTACCTACCGACCGACCTACCTACCCACCTACCTACCTACCTGCCTACATACATACATACATACATACATACATATATCTGTGTGTAAACATATATAATGACCCCCCCCCAAAAAAAAAAAAAAACGTAGAGGGGCACGCCCGACTCCATGGAAGACACGCGAGACGGCCGCGCGGGGAGGCGGCCGCAGCGGGCGCGGCGGCGCGAAGGCTGCGGGGCCGACGGCAGCGCGCACTGGCGACGCAGCAGCCGTTCGGGCCGGGGCGGAGGCCCAGTCCCGAGCCCACGGCAGCCTCTCGGCGGCGCGCCCGGAGGGGAAGCGTTAGGTCGGGCATGTCCCCCTACAGACGGATGTTGGGCCTATATATATATATATATATATATATATATATATATATATATTCAAACACATACATACAAGTCAATACAAATACAGAGAGAGACATAGATGTGTGTATTATATATATTATGGTAGATAGATAGAGATAGATAGATAGATAGATAGATAGATAGATAGATAGATAGAGATAGATAGATAGATAGATAGATAGATAGATAGATATATGGATGTATAGATAGATAGTATAGATATAGATATAGATATAGATATAGATCTATATATATATAATAGATATATATAAATATAGATATATAAAAAAAAACATAATATATATATATATATATATATATATAGGTATAGTTTATATATAGATATATATAGATATATAGATAGATAGATAAATGTATATGTATAGATAGATAGGTAGCTAGATAGATATATATATATATATATATAGATATATATATATGGATAGATAGATAGATAGATAGATAGATAGATAGATAGATACAGCTATATATATATAGATAGATAGATAGACATATATATATATATATATAGATATGCATATATATAGATAGATAGATAGATAGATAGATAGATAGATAGATATATATATATAGATAGATAGGTATATAGAGAGAGATAGATAGACAGACAGATAGATATATAAAGATATAGATACACATCTACACGTCAAAACTAATTAACTTCAAAAATATGTGATGTGTTTTGTCAGACTATGTTTGTTTGCTATGTTTGAATACGTATTCCTTCCTTCTGTAGAGGGACACGCCCGACGTAAGGGAAGTGGGAGGGAACAGGCCCTCGCGGAAGGCCACGGGGCTTCTCAGAGGCCCTCTGGCCTTCCGAGAAGCCGCCTGTGTCTTCGGAGTCGGCGTACACCCCTCCTCGAGCTCAAACGCAAGTTCTTAGTGCCGATCCACGCGCGAAACGCTGCCCACGGGGTCAGGTGTTCGTGCTTTTGAGCAGAGACCGACCGTCCCGCATTCCTTTAGTCCTACCACGACATGTTCTTAAAGCCCAAAAATGTTCTAAGAGCAAAACAATGTTCTTATAACATAGACCCGATGTGTTAAAACAAAACAATATCAACCAGAAATGTTCTAAGAACATCTCGTGGAAACCACAAAAGGTTCTTAGAACATTGTTTAGTGGGGTTATAAGCGAGCCAGGACGCTTCGCCACTGCTTGATGCTTGCAGTCGCCTATTTCGGCGCGAACGTTGAATCTTTGTCGGGGTCCTGGGGGGCGCCGCCACGCCGTGGGAGGAACTTGCGGTTGATTTCGAGGAGGGATGTAATACAACGCTGAGAACTGAGACCCCCGACGTCATGGTTTTTTCATGACGTCGACCCCCAGAGGTCTCGGCCCAGTCCTCAGGACTGGCGTTTCGTCCTGAGTCGTTTCTTGACGGTCCCGAGGCCCAGCGAGGGCCCCCAGGGGCCGGAAACAGTGGAAAACCTCCCGCCACCACTTCCTCCTGCCTCCCAGGGGGTCTGGGAAGGCACTCTGGGCTCGCCGCCGATCCACGTCGAGGCCCCGGGCCTCCCCGCGCAGGCGGCGGGGCCCGGCCGGCGGGGCCCGTCGGGGGCCCCGCTGGAAGCCGAGGTCGAGCGGCCACGGACGTCCCTCTGATGACAGGGGGCTTCGGCAGGGGCGGCCTCCAGCCGGGAAGGCGCGGCCAGGGGCAGCGGCGCGGGCCGCGGCAGGCCAGGCGAGAGGCCAAGGTCGAGAGGATGGGCGTCCGCTGCTGCGGCGGCCTCCGGCCTCGGCAGGGGCAGCCTCCAGCTGGAGAGGCGCGGCCAGGGCAGCGGCGTGGGCTGCGGCAGGCGCGGGCGAGCGGCGCCCTGCTGGGAGCTCTGTGGTTGGCGCAGCCTGCGTGGCGGTGGGGCCAAGGGCCAGGCACGGCGCCGCAGGTCGCAGATGTAGGTCGGGCACGTCCTCCTACAGGCGGATCTGGACGAAAAAACAGTTCTGTCAAACAAATATTCTAAAATAGTCAAGAGAATACTCAAAAAAACGTCCCCATACTAGTTGTGTGACTATTTTTGAATATTCTTCCTGTAGAGGGACACGCCCGACTTAATCGTAGAGGATAACTGCGATCTCGTGGAGCACAGCACTGCCCTGCGCTGCAAGCCTGGACAACGTCGGCTGGCTGGTTGAACTCTGTGCGGAAAAGGCCTGCGTGGCCGTCTCGCCTACTTGGCGGCTCCAGTATTCAGCCATGATACAACTATTCAGCCATGATCCCGATGAGGCTGCCTTCTTGCCCAAGGTGGCCGCTAGGCGCAGGTCCGCCAGCAAAGATGCTCAGGAAGGCGTCCACAACTGCGCTGTCGCCGAGGAAGGCGTGCGCAGAGCGCTCGGCCACCGCGATCAGGGTGAGCCAGGGCAGCGCGCCGGGCTCGACAGGCGCCATTCCGCCCAGGGTGGCCCCTCGGCAGACGGCGAAACCAACCCTGGCCAACGAAAAGCACACTTGGTTGGTGCAGGTACAGGCCCCGTCCGTGGCAGCGCAAGCGCACACAGGCCGGGTGGCCTCGCCAGACTACTCCTCACACTTCTCCAGGAGTGCTCGTCGGAAGGGTGCGGGCGCGGCCGCGGCCACTGCGCGTCTGCCGCCCAGTCAACCTGAAGGGTGAGGAACCGCGGGTCCCCGTCAAAGGGACCAGAGCGCCGTGTTCGAGGCGGCGATGGCGATTGGGCCGCATTTCGCCGGGAACCCAGCGAACTAGGGCGCGACGTGGTGGCCCCCAGTATCGGCGCCAGCGGACCGTTTCGCTCCTGCGGCGTCTCCGGCTCATCGCGGTAGCAGCACAGGGGGGAGTGGTCGGCGGAGACGCCGTCTCTCGACACCCGCTGCTGTGAACGGTCCGCTCCTGGCAGCTGCAAAGCAAAGATAGTTGCCACTGCGTGACCTCGGAAGCGGACCCTCCGACGCAAGCCAGCCACACGGTGTCCAAGACATCCCAGCGGTGGCGGACGCGGGCGAGCGAGAGCGAGCCCATGTCGTTCCGAGCAGTGGCCACGCGCAGCAACAAGGATCGTCGACGTGATGCGCGCTGGGCATTGGCGGCGAGCCCGTAGATCTCATGCATGGCCCTTGAGGACAGCCATGCAACTTGAACTATTCGAGCACCAGGCGGCGACGCTCAACAGGACCTCCCCGTGGAGGTACTGCATGGTCGCGCAACATATTGTCCCCGAGGCGCTACTCTCGCAAACACTGCTGGCACACCCGGGGCAACACCCCGGACTGCGTGATGGCCTTGAGCTCAATAGCACGGCCTCAAACGCAAAGGGCCATGAGCAGCCAGAAGCATAGCCACGTGCGTCCGACAGGGCGGAGAGCAGTGAGAAGGGCCGAGTTGTAGATGCTGGCCGTTTTGCAGGGGACTGGGCGTCTGTGCCAGCGATGTAGACGCTAGCGGCCAACGAGGGGGCCAAGAGGACCGACTCGGCCGTTGACTGGGGCAGATGATCGACTCATGGCGGACGCGGCAGTGCTCGGGAGATACGCAGGTCGGTTCAAGTCTTCAAAGACGGGACCGGGGGCAACATTGAGAACAGTGGCAGCCAGCACGAGCTTTGGCTGGACGCTCAATGGTTGTTCGTGAAAGCAGCGGAGCCCTGGCTGTCAGTGTTGCGAACAGGGCGATGTGGGCGCTCCAGTCCTGCGGCTTGAGGGCCTCACTTGGAGCCGACGATGTGCCCTTAGGCTCACGCGCGGGGGCCGCGGCTCACTGATTAGCAGCCCGCGGCGAAGCCACGTCGGCTGTGTCGTGATCCTTGCGGAGTTCAAAAAAGAGCGCTGGTCCAGCTTGTGCGCTGGCGGCCCATGAGGCGCAAGAGGCGACGGGCTAACTTCTTCTTGCACCCGTGCAGGTGCTGTCGGCACCGGCGCGGCACTAGACGTGCCACGCCCTGGTCAGCTGCCACTGAGCGGTCACCGCCGGCAGGCTGGAGTTTGACGACGCGAGCGCCGTTGAGCACGGGGGCACCAGCTACCACGGAGGGGCACGCTTGGGGCCGGCGCGCGTCTTCTTTACCACGGCACGGGCGCGGGACGCAGCGAAGGAACGGAGGAAGGTCTAGCGGTCTCCCTAAAAGGGGGCACTTGGCGGTGTTGCCAGGAGCGCAGGGGCCTTGAGGGAAAGTTCCTGGGTGGTTCTCCCTACGCGCACCCCGCGGTCTCGCGCCAACACCAGGCAGGAGGGAGGAGGGGAGAGAGAGGAGGTAGAGAGAGAGGAGGGAGGAGGGAAAAGGGAAGAGGGAGGTCATCACTGTAATCATTATCCTCGTCGTCACCATCACCAGCACCATCGCCATCGTCATCGTCGTCAGCATCCCCCTTTTTTTCTCATTTCCTCATCTTCATCCTTACGCATTGCTTATTCACCCTCATGTTCTCCTCATCTGCCTCATCCTCTTCGCCCCATATCCCTCCGAGGAGCCGAACAACAAGAATGGTTAGAATTGGAGGATCTAGTAGCCCCTGGAAAATAACGACAAGCGATATGCGCGTGCAAGGCGGGCATCTGGGAAATTCAAGCGGCACCTCCATGGTGAATGTCTTGCCTGTGCCCGTCGGACCGTACGCCAGCACGGTGGCGTTGTAGCCTTCAAGCGCCTCCCGCCATGCCAACAAGTGGAGCCGCGACGCCAGTAAAAGGCAGCAGAAGTAGCAGCGGCAGCAGCGGATGCGGCGGCAACGAAGGCAGAAGAAGAAGAAGAAACCAACACCGGCAGCAGCAAGGGCAAGAGCGGCGGCGGTCATGAAAGCTGGGGAGATAGCAGGGAAGAAGAAAGAGGCAGGAGGGAAGACGAAAGAGCACCCTCCCCCCTCTCCCACATTCCTCCCCGCCGTCCTCACGTCTCCCCTCCAGACGCCCTGTCCTTCGTCTTCCGCTCCATCCCATCCCGTCCTCGCGCCCTCCCCCACGTTCCCCGTTCACCCCTCCCGCCTAGTTGGAGCCAGGGGAAGAGAGGGGAGGGAATGGACGCAGAAGGGAGAGAGAAACGGAGAGAGGGGTGGAGGGGAGGACATGGGGAGGAAGAAGTCCTTCCTCTTGAACAGCTGCATGCACGACGCCCGACCAACAAAATAATTAGTTCAGATCTGCGTGTCATCCAAGAGAGCGACAGCAGACCCAAATTTCTGTTTTCCGTTCAGTGCGGCATTCACACGAACTTGGCCCTGCACGTATGCCAGCATGAACCGCACGTCCAAAATACCTAGCTGCGAACGCGTCTGCCATCTGGAGGTAGTATAATACTGTACTGAAAGGCCCAAGACACGAGCGACTGCCCATCCTCCTCCTTCCTCCTCCTCCTCCTCCTCCTCCTCCTCCTAAGCATCATCGTCATCATCAGCCATCAGTCGACATCATCATCATCATCATCATCATCATCATCATCATCATCATCATCATCATCATCATCATCACCATCATCATCATCATCATCATCATCATCATCATCA